TGGTGGTGCTATTTTGTGTGTGTGCTTCCCTTTTTTGAATTTTGGTATTATCAATTGTGTATGTTTTTGTGGGTGCAGCTAACTTACTTAGGTTGGAGTTTTCCTTCCAGTACTATCTGTAGTGCTGAATTTGGGGATATGTCTTTTTTTAATCTGTCTTTTTCATGGAATATCTGATTTTCTCCATCCATATTAATTGAGAGCTTGTTAGTGTAGTCTGTGCCAGCATCCATTTTTTTACTAGTCTTTCGAACATGTATCTAGGACCTCTGGCTTTCAGAGCTTCCACTGAGAAGTCAGGTGTAATTGGGATAGGTCTGCCTTTATTTATTACTTGGCCCATTTCCTTTGCATCTTTTCATATTCTTTATTTATTTTGTATATTTTCTTTAATATTATTATTCAGGAGGTTACTCTTTTTTGGTCCAGTCTATTTGGTGTTGTGTACTTTCTGGTCTGATCATAGACATTTCCTTCTTTGGCTTGGGGAAGTTTCTTTTGTGATTTTGTTGAATATGCTTTCTGTGACTTTGAGCTGGATATCTTCCCCTTTGTCTATAACTATTATTTTTAGCTTTGGACTTTTCACAATATCTCAGATTTCTTTGGATATTTCTCTTATTGGTTGATGAATAAAGGTTTTTTAACAATGGAAAAGCAGGATTTAGCTAGGAGTGGGAGGAGGGGAAATGGTTGTAAGAGACTGGGAAGGGGAGAAAGGGATGAAGGTGAAGAACATGAGGGATCTGATTCTCCCCATACTAGGTTCATATATTCTATAGACAGACTATAGAAAACACAGTTACCAACTTCTTAAGTCCTAGAATCCATGAACTTGAGTAAACATAAATTATTTGTCTCCCAAGTAAAGTCACTTAATAAATGATTTCAGATCCAACCATTTAAAACCGATGTTTGAAATACCAAAAACAAGTGATGAATTTATTAGTGTTTAAACTACCACACATTAAGTCAAGATGACTTAATTTAGATTATCACATATCCTCAAGTTTTATAGAAAGAATAATAAAAACTTCTCAAGTAATGGCAACTTGATACATTCAGTGCAGAATCCCACCACAACTCTGAGAAGAACAAACACTATTACACTTCCAATGGAAATTTGAAAATTTCCATTTCAAGAACACATCAAAATCATTTTTTTTATAGGATCAAGGTGGTTTCATTTAAGAGTTGCTTATAAGAGTGAACATA